CATACAGTCAACGACAGGCAATTCCCAGTTTATGCTGATGTACGGTCGACTTCCGCGCCTTCCGATCGACCAAGAAATTGGGTTGTGGCCGGCAACACGCTTGTCTCCGGAGGAGCTAGAGGAAGAAAGGAGAGCTCGAGAAAACTTTACAGCCGTTCAGGACAGGACTAGATAGAAAACGGCAAGTAGGAGGGTACGAACGTTCCCCATAGGTACAAAGGTCAAGTGGAAGGACCACCAGTATCCTGGAAGGAGGAAACTGGGGTCGCGGAAGCTAGGCAGCCGATGACTGGTCGTTTGTCGTTACCGACCGCCAGGGAAATGCCTATACTGTTCAAGACGGCCGGGAATCTACAAGATTAAGTGGGAATCAACTTCGTAAGTGGCATGATACACCCGAGGAGCAGCAGGGTAGACCCGCTGCCGAATCCGACCTGACCGAGGTAAATTAAACCTATGGCATGCGAACGAGCTTTAAGAGGTGGAAGTGTGTAACGGTGATACTGCTGATAGGGAGTCTAGCGCGTAGTATGTGTTGTTCGTGGAAAAGTTGCTTTGCGTCTTTTGGAAAGGGGAGATCTGTTGCGGAATTTGTGGAATCGCTTTGTAACATTTGCGTGGATTTGAGTGATGAATGATTGGAGTCAATGAATATCCAGGAAAGTTCAATAAGACGCGTTCAGGAGATGGATGTCCAGTTTCTGTAAATAAGATGCAAATGAGAGTCTTGTTTCCCTGTCCAACGGTCAGTTGGCATTTCCTGATAAATAACTCCGCAGCAAAGGACTTCTTCCTTTCACGAGTACTAGCGCTCAGTCGGACAAACCGGAAACCGACCGGTAGCACGAGTAGCACTGACATCGACTAGCCGTCATTTCTTGCAACGTCTCCAGCGAAGAAGTCGGGTGATGTAAAATGATTGCAGTCGGGAAGGCGAACAGCGCAAACTGCATCAAAGTTCTTCCTAAGCTCTCTCTCGGACCATTCTGACAAGTCATATATTATCCACCTCAGGCTTCGCGTCATTCTAAAAGAGGTAGGTAGAACAAGATTCGTCTAGCCAGGTGATGTCTCGGCAGACGTAGTAAATGCCTGAGTCACTGTAGTTGACGGGGATGGGGGTTTACCGCGATTGAAGAAACCGCTAAACAACCGGATTTCCTTTTCCTAACTACACCGATGTGAATTCCTTTACGCCATCCGGCACCAGCAACGCTTAAGACATCGGTTTTCATGAGTATGAGGACAATTTGCTTCATCTGTCCGTAAAAGCCATATCTTGGAGTGACAATAATTAGGTTCTTACCACGATACACGCTACTTTTGATATTCGGCGATGGGTTTTTCTGACGCCACAAGTGACGCAACTGAGCAAACGATATTGCAGAGGACGTGATCAGACTGCATGTTATGGAGTACGATTTCGCGCTTTCAAGGAGTTAGATGCATGAAAAAATGGTGTGATGGTGATCAGTTTATTCAACAACGTGTTGGTTCGGTTTCGTCTTCATAATAGGGTGGATTTCGTCTGCGTACTTCAGATTAACAAGCTTGCCACGAGCGAATATTTGAACACCGGAGTTTTGAAGACCTCTCGTTCGCTTCATTAATTTATCCGTTATAAAGTTGAAAAATTCAAAGCCTGACAGATGGGAGACAGATGGTCGCCGGCACTCCATGACACGATGCGATCTGTTTACGGCAGATGAATTTATCCTTCTTATACTGTCACCGAGCTACAGCCTGTCCATAGTAAATAGGCTGAGCGGATTCAGCACATGCAACGTCATGCGATGTGCCACTGCAAAACGACGCCCGATAAGGGAACATCACTGCAAGTCCAAAAGCACAGAGCCTAAAACTTTCCTCAGGAAAGCTAATACCTGGGGCCGGTCGTCGTGGTGAGAGAGGGCAATGATACAATTTTCCAAGATCCAAGAGGCAAGTAACACCGGTCAGGCAGTTACTGACGGTAAAAGATGATGCGGTTTATAAGGATTTCCAAACTATTCCCTGCCAAATACTGAATATAGCTTTTAGCTGGAGAAATAAACAGTTCTATGTGAATATCCCAAAGATACCAATATTTCGACACTACTGTTGGTTCCACTCGAAACAATGAGTGTTATGTTTAAGCAATTTCAGTAAATCTCCTGGACTGGTGAGGCTGAAAATTTAGAAATTTTGCAGGATATCATTTTTATGATAGGAGAAAATTAAGAACGCAAACAAAATGTTCGGAATGATGGCCAGAACTATATGAACACTGATAGATGCTCCAATATTTGACAGGAACTGTGTCATGTATGGGAGCGAGCATTAGTGATGTCGAATTTCCTACTTTTTGTTCCTTCAGCAACACTAAAAATGGCGTTATTTTTCACCTTTATCTCAAGGTTACGGTGAGTTTGGAATGAGTGTTAACCTAGGTCTTTATTCACGTAGTAAAACATTCTTAAAAATGGAACAGTGTAATTTCTTTACAGTCGGCCCAAAGGCCAGCTAGAAAGATCAGTGATCCCGTATCTCAAAATGGCGAGAACTCGTTGAGGAAAAGCTGTATTCTAAAATATAGAGAACTAATAAATCAGAACTTGCCCTTTGCAGAGAGCAAAGAAATGGAAGTAGCTATGAGTGGTTTTGGTTTGACCACAAATGCCACAAAATGCGACATTTTGGCGAGAAAAGTTTTATTCCGATGGCAAAGGTTCTGCAGATAAAAGCATTCTGCGTCCAATGGTCGGCGAGCAGAGGCTGCCTGCTAGCATTCAGCTGTTGCACCCTTTCGATGCCTCGCTGCCATGCCACACGAAGGAGGAACGAGGGCTGGGATACTGCCAGGTCGCCCAAGCCTAGACAGGGGAAGTCGAGAGGCAGAGGTCAGGTTCGAACCACGGACCTTCCGGTCAGTAAATTCGCGCTCTAACCAATCAAGCCATCTCGACCCCTGCTATAAAAACACTCGCACCACTGATCTGGATGAAAAGCATAGCTTGCGATAGAGAGTTGTGCTTTCTCAACTTCAAGATGGGTCATACATCCCTCATTCCGGATGTCTTATGCTAACAGATTCAGACGTCTCCAGTTTCGAGTGGGACTTTCTGTTACTTGGCTTTTGCTGTGAAGCACTAAAAAGGCCATATGTGAAGAACAACCTGAAATGCGCCATTATTTTACATCTGAGCAGCTTTTTGAGGCTTGGGTGTCGCATACTGTCAATATCTCTAAGGTATTAGTGAAACCCAAACTGACTTGAGAAGTTACTTACCAACGCCAAAACGCAGGCCAATGAGAATAATCAAAAATCCTTCGAAAATGTAAAATGCCACCAGCAAATAACGATCTTAAATCGCTATCTACTGCGCACAGCAATGCACTCAGTTGCTGACGACATCCACTTATGGAGGGCGATAGGAGGGAAACCTACAAACAGACAGCTGGGGATTGCTTTCCATTTTTCAAATAAGATATCATAAGCCAAAATCTACTACCATCTTGCATAGTAGGTAAACATTTAGGATAACAGTTCATCATAATAATAGAAACCCTTTATAGTCCTGAATGCCCGCACATTCCAACCCTCAGTAATGGCGCAGGATTTGCTGTCTACATTGTTTCAAGTCGCAACTAAACTGTCAAACGTAGGGGTCAGCAGCGGGAGGAGCATTTATCATTCAGTTTGCAATGATCAGAGACGGAAGACCCAGCATCGAAGACGACGAATTCGATCCAAAAGCAGCAGCAAGATAACTTCTCGAAGAAACATGTTGGATTTCGAACTTTTTGCCAACATGCATCGACGGTTATAGCGAAACATGGGTTCAAAACATAAACAGAAAGAATACCTTGGAATGTTTTGCTAATATCCATGGCACATGTTTGCATGCCAACAAGTTTGGAACGCTTCAATCAAAACAATATGCAAGATAAACATGAACTACCAAAGTGGGTAACGTATTGCAGAAAGCGCAGTCCCGGATAAAGAATAAGTTAATAATTCATATGGTTGACCAGCACAGAAGAACATAAGAAGCCAGAAATCATAGCCACAATTTGAACTGACATGAAGATAGGAGAATGGATTGTAAACTGTCCTATGAGAAGAAGTAGTATTTGCGTCCCGCGAACATATCAATACGACCAGCAATCTAGTACGAAAAATGGGTTGAGCGATTTTCTCCATGATATTTCTCGGAGTACGGAGAGTTGTGCTTCAAGGGTCTGTTTTCTGTAATTCTCAAACCGACTGTCTAAACAACTTACTATCGATATTTTTGCCTAGTTGATGCCTATTTGGAATATCTTTGAATTTTTCTTCAGAAATCTCAGTGTCACTCACAGTTATCTTCCGTGCGCGAAAGACGCAACCCTCATTTGGCGTGGCTGCTAAGAAAATGCTTGTTGGCTTTAAATCCGTCGATCATGAAACGCATCGCACGGTACTTAACCTCCCCCTGGATTATCGTTGCCTCCGAGGAGAGCTAATACATATTTCGAACGAAGTTCGGTCAACGATGTTTTCACCATTGACCCAAAATACACATGTCGGGGACATGGTAAAAAGATTTTCAAGCCGAGTTCACACTTTCATCAGGCAACAATTCTTCTCATTTGTGTGTGAAGTAGCCTTCCTCTCACGGGTGCCTACGCTGTGTCTAGTACCTTGTTCAAAGCATTTTGGACGCTTTGTTACATGTACTAGCGCTAGAAAGCTTACTGCCCCGCACTCAGAAATCGCAGAACAATACTACACCTTCCTTCAATTGTGGCTCTCAGACGAACGAAAGCCGCTAAAAGACAAGGACAAGCCCGGGAAGCCTGGGCGGAAGCCTCGATTTTATGTATCAACCCGTGAATCGGTGAAAATAGCAAGGTCCCTGACCTGAAATTTTCCACTTCTCATCTGGCGAGGAATACTATGGTCTTCTTCATTAAGGCTCAACCGATTTCCAGATACTCACTTCTAAAAACTTCTGTCTGTTCGATTAGAAATCACTCACTCTGAAACCACGGAACGTGCCATCCGCAGAGTTTCCAACTGATGTACAAGGGTCTTATTCCTCAAACGTTCCTTCTCTAATTGTTGCCTTAACTCAATCACTTCGCTGGCCAAGTCTTCGGCGGTACGTGAACAAGTAGTTGGCTCGGCTGAAAGGTGCAAAACTGAGATATAGTAGCAAAGCATAAATACCTCTGTCATTTTGCTTCCCTCCTTTTTTCACACAACAGCACATTACTAGGCGAAACTGAAGATCTGATTTTGGGGTATAAGCTATCCTGAATAGTGCTACCTTTGTTTGCTCTTCTCAGATTTTCTATTTCTTCGTATAGTCCATTCAGTACAAACGCATGTTGTTTACACAGATATTCTATGCTTTCTTCAAGAACGGCCACCTTGTTTTCACCTTCTTTCATCACTATGAGTGTTGGCGATTTTGCTGCGTTACATCCGTTGCTTGGGTAATCTTCGAGAATGTCAGATGAATTAAAAGGTACGCCTCCCAGAGAAATCATCTCTCAAGATAGACGCTGCAGTATACACAATAGATACGTAGTCAAATATCAATAAATCTGCATCTATAACAAACTCTCAGATCCTCATACATTCACAAAGTTTAGTGAGGGAAACCGAACAATTCGACTCCAGTTTTTAATTAGTGCGCGGGCGTCCATAGATAGCTACGACCTAATAAGATATGGTGCCGATTGCGAGAAATCATGTACGAAACCTCTAAATCATTAAGCTCCACATGTCTCACTTTTTTGGTATATTCGGGTCGTGGTTCGTGAACAAACGTTGGATGAATTTTTGCGCACACAAGTAAAACGCTTGGAGGATAAGTAAAAGAGGCCGGCGGCTAGACGCACAATGTATTTTTCTGCAAAACGCCTGCGGACGAAATAAAAACTTTAACGTCAAAATGTTGCACTTCTTTGCATAAATGCGTAGACTGAAAACCCCCCTCATCTGCCGTTATTTTTTTGCGATTTGTTTTAATCGAGACATTTGAAAATTATTGGCGCACATTCGGTATTGGCGCACATTCGGCTTTGAACTTCGTCTGCTATGGCTTCGGAAGTGGCTTTCGTTGAGAAATTTGTGGGTGT